TTTAATATGTCATATTAAATTAAGCGTTCGTTTCTGCATGTTTTGCTCCTATGAATTTAATGATAATATTGCCCATGCTCTCCTAAAGCTCAGAGTATAAGTCAGTGCGCAGCAATACAGGAGGAACAACAGCTTTGGCTTGCGGAGGAGGTCTGGAGCGCTGCGGGGCGGAGCGCTGCGGTGCGGGGCGGTGCGGGGCGGTGACAGAGGATGTGGGATTTCTGGGTAACAGGAGAAGCGGCGCGGTCCGCTATCCGTGACCTCTGCATTAAACCGAAGCCAAGGGTAACGAGTAACGCTTGTTTTAAAAATGTAAGGAATAGAAAGTAGGCTACAGATACTAGTTTGAAAATGTAATGAGTAGAAGTCAGAGGTAGGAGGGAAAATAAGTAATGGAGAAAAGTATAGATACCTAAAAAGTGTACTTAAGTGCAGTAACGAAGTATTTGTACTTCATTACTTGACACCTCTGAATGTAGGAACTTAAAGAGAGCTGTATATGAATAATACGGTGATCCCTTGATGAAATTAGGTAATTGTAATTTTTGATTCTCCTAAATCTTTTTTCCCCATTTTGAAGCTTGATTGACACAAAAGAAATGGGAAGAAATGACACAAATTTACAGAAGCCTGGATTAATGTATAACTGTTTGTTTTTAAATGGTTCATTTCCAGTAAGTACTGAAGACTAAGCAATTGCGAAACTATGTAACTTCCCCTTCCCCTCTTTCTTTGTTAAAGGCTCCTCAAGGGCATTAGGAATATCAAGTTACAATGAGGCCATCTGAAAAGGTTTTGCCTGATATAGAAAAATATTCTACCCAGAAAACCAAAGAGGCAAACAATGGGAGATGATAGGATATCAGTAAAAAAAAAAAACTGCAACTTAATATTAGTTTTTGTTTTTTCTAAAATAACATAAACTACAAAGTACATTTCTTTGCTGTTTTATTTTTTATTTATTTTTATTATCAAACTACAATGAATCTTTCCATGTTTCATCTTGGTCAGTTTGCAGATATTCAAAAGTGATTTAGAAATGAGGGAAATTCCATTATTTCTGGTTTCACTCTTTTACTTTCACTACCATCATGTTTAGTGCTGAAAATTCCGGATTCTTGAAAGCAGCAGGGTCACCAGGGCCGTTGGGAGGAGTATTTCTTGTTTTTATGAGCAGAAGCAGCAGTATCACTCACGTCTTCCTCATTGCTAAAGGCTACCACTTTATAATTATTCTTTCCTGTGTTTAAGGGCAGCATATCTCCCAAGATCATCAATCTCAAACACTGAAGTGTGAGGTAAGACTTAAGCATGTGTTGTAGTTTCTTTCAATTTGTTTTGTTTGTGTCTTTGTTCTTTCAATTTGTTTTGTTGGTGTCTTTGTTTTTACAAGAAAACTGACTCGGTTCATGTTATCCTCACTCTCTGTGAGGATAACATTCTTAAAATTCTTCTCTTCTAGCTTTTCATCACTTCTTGTCACTTGACTGATTTCATCAGGATCTTTACAATGACGAGCATCTCTGAAACAATTGAGACAGAGGAGAGCCTCCTCACTCTTCTCCACATTAAGATTTACCACCCACAGCAGAGTTGTAAGGGTCTCTATGATTTGCTTCCCCTTGGGCTCAGGAGGAGACACTCTGCTGATGACCCTCTCCGACTGGGCCGTGATGCTCAGGCCTGCACCTATTCACTGGCTGACCCCCGGGTGTCCCGCAAACAGCTGGGTCTACATCCCTTCCGTACACCCCGGAGCCCGGATTTGCTCTTCTCCATCCAGAATCTAAGCCAGAGAGGGCCACTATCAGTAAACGGCTCACTACTGAGCTACCTGGAGACAATGCACCTTCCAGACAAGGCTCTGATCCGGTTTGGAGAGTATGAGATGCTCATAATTCGGGAATCCGGAGAGGCCAAGGCTAGCTTTGAGGTGGACTTCGAGGTGCTGCCAGTGGCTCCGTCGAGAGAGACATGTACTGATATGCCTGGAAAGGCACCTGTCATGGACACAGGCTCGATGAACCAGAACACAGCTGGGCTCAGAGAAGAAGGCCCTCAGGAGACAGATGAGACATTTATATGTTATTCATAATGAAAGGACTGAAACTAACTAAACATCAAGGCAAGGTATCTTATTTTATTCTTTATTTTCAACTGGATACAGCATGATAAAGCCAAAAAATCTTTCACATTTACATATAATGTATACTGGGATGTTTTAAACTTATGGACTTCATAACTTCATGTGAAATACATTTGTATATTGTAACTATTATGAATCTCCCACTGTTACCATACTGCAAGAAGGTCCTGGATTGAAATCCTGACTCCATGTTGAGTTAGATTAAGTGTGTTTTGTTTTTTTCTTAATAGAAGAATCCTGTCTCTTGGTTAATTTTAATACAATCTTTGTAGTTACTTTTATAAAAAAAATTTTTAAAAAGTTACTTCTGGGAGGTGCTGTTTGTAATGTGTCCTTCATAGTTTACAGTAAGTTTCAAATTCTAAATAGGTAAATATTAAATAAACATATTCTAAGGTTATCAACAGGAATGGCACTTGGATACAACTTAAGTCCAAAGGTACAGAAATTTGCTGGATACACCTTGAGTCCAAATGTGTATTTTTCCTAGGAATCTAGGAAAAAAACGGTTTTATCCAAGAGAAGAAGAAACAATAAAACCTTTCAGACTGGATCAACTATAATTTGCACTGGTTAGGCTGAACAATGAAGAGCAGGCTGGTGTCAGACAGGGTCCTGATTCATCCACTGCTTTTTTCAAATGGAAAAAATTACCTGCGATGGACTGGCGACCTGTCCAGGGTGTACCCCGCCTCTCGCCTGTAGACAGCTGGAGATAGGCACCAGCACCCCTCGCAACCATACATGGGATAATAGTGACGGAAAATGGATGGAGGGATTGGAAATATCAATAATAAAAATGAACTTCCATAGCTACAGTGGTAAGTTTATTCCATGTTAAAGAAAAACTACATGAAATTCATGGAGAAAACTCCACCAGCGGCTACTGGGATGTACCCCTATCTCAGCCACCTCTCAGCCACCACCACAAGTATTAATATTATCTATGTTATAATTATTAAACATCAGAGATGGCAAAAGTACTCACTTTCCGTACTTGAGTAAAAGTACAGATGCTTGTGTTAAAAAATACTCTGGTAAAAGTGGAAGTACTGATTAAACTTCTTTACTCAAGTAAAAGTAACAAAGTACAGGCTTGTAAATTTACTTAAAGTATAAAAGTCAAACTAGAAAGTATTTTTTTCAGGCCGTTGCCTACATTTTAA